AAGGACAACCCACATACATTTTCGGGGGGATAGTGTGATCTGAGACAATGTCCTTCAGTCAAAAATCAAGCCCCAGAGTTTATTACACCCCTATACATCGTAATGGTCCTTTCCTTACATTGAACAAGATTGATTTGATGTTTGATTAGCAGGGAAGTATATTTCACTGTATATACCGGCCATCTGCATTTGGTAAACTCCAGGGATTGAAATAAAATGTGAGAAAGGCATTGCAAGACATTACACTGACTCCAAGGCAGACTGCGTGCAACAGCTCCCCCTGCTGGAGACAGAAGGGTGACTCCACACTAGCCTCACCAAAGTATGTACGCTTCTTGGCCATGTTCAAGTGCAGCCTTCATGAGCCGTCATTCATTTTTCACTCATCAGAGCTTTTGCTGTGGAATTTGACGGTTTTGTTTTTTGCGCCGTTTTGCAGGTTTCTCCACCTGTCAGTCATGCTGAGGAGGGAGCGATTGTTCACAGAAATGTCCCGGCAAGTTTCCGCTCTCCAATTCTTGAAACAGTCTGCTGGCTACCTCTGCTTTTGCCGTCTGAGGCTTTAAAAGGGCTTGTTCCAGATTATTTAACTAAGCTTCTTATTCCAGTTGATCCTCAAGGTTCACTCTTAGTGCTTTCAATTACATAGATCATAAATGATAGTGAGGCCCTTTCTTACATAATCACTGGAGCAGGCTACAAGATTTTGCCCAGGAATCAGATACTTTCTATCTTTAAATATTGATTAAATATATTTAAGTAGACTTTTTTTCAGCCTCACTTGTTCATTGAATAGCTGATGTGTCCAAAATATCTTACATTTTTATCTTGCTTGCCTGTCATGCAGCGTGACGACCTTTGACCCCTCTGTCATAGCCATGCGCCTGCCTGCCTGCCTGTGTCTCACTTCTACGTTACTGAGCCAAAGGTCATTGCACAGATCATAGGCTTGTTCTTTGGGATTTACCTTGTTTAATGGAAGCATGTATACATTTTTGGTGGTTCAGCAGGTAGTGTTATTGCTTCGCTCCTCCTGGGCCCGGGGTTCAAATCCTGCCTCTGCTCTTTGCGTTTGCATGTTGTTGTGTGGTTTTCCTGCCATGGTCCAAAGACATGCAATAGACTAACTGGGTGACACTTTACTTGAGGGGGACACAAATAATGCAGTATTATGGTATTACTTATGTATTAATCCACCACATACTGATCTCATGTTGGTTCATCAATAATAAATCGTGACATCTTTTATCTCGAGTAATTACAGTATTTGCCACTATATTTGTTGACCTTTGTGAACTACTGAAGGAACTACTGAAGGAACCGACTGGAGCAACTATTGAAGGAACTACTGAAGGAACGACTGGAGGACCTACTGAAGGAACTATTGAAGGAACTACCGAAGGAACTATTGAAGGAACTACCGAAGGAACGACTGGAGGACCTACTGAAGGAACTATTGAAGGAACTACCGAAGGAACGACTGGAGGACCTACTGAAGGAACTACTGAAGGACCTACTGAAGGAATGACTGGAGGAAAGACTGGAGGAACAAGTAGTGAATAACACATGTGAAATACTGATCTCATGATGGGTTGATTTTGTTCATGGAGGTTTGTGTAGAACATGGCCTCAGACCTGCAATCAAGATGCTCAGTCCCCTCTATCAGTCAGCGACTGGATTAATGGGTTAACCTGAGGTCAACGATATATTTTTCCAAAAACACTTTACCTGTATTTAATAGGTGAAATGCATAAAAACATCTCTGCGGTGAGTTGGCGCCTACCCAGGGTTGGTTCCCGCCTGCGCCCATTGTTCCCGGGATAGGCTCCGGTCCCCCCTGCGACCCCAGTTGGGATTATGCGGTTTCGGAAAATGGATGCATGGCATAAAGAGGTCAAATCAGGGACATGCAGTGGGGTTGGGGGTGCCTGAGCAATTGAAAGTGTTCCATTCCCAAGTCCCAAGTGCCCCCCATGAAAAATACCGCTAACTTTTGAAAAATATCTTTCAGAGAGGAGTTGTGAGGCCTGCACTTAGAGCAGCAACCAGAGAAAACACCCACATAATACTGCCCCGAGCAATTTGCTGATCTATGGTCACATAGTGACCAACGGGTTGCACAGTCAGCAACATGTCTTTCCACTGTCCACCAGAGGGCACCAGAGAGAAGATACCACTGCTCACCTGCCCGGACGATGCAGTAAAACAATGGTGATAATCTTACATGCAGTGCCCCCCAAAGGACTTGGGTCACATGACAACACCTCCAATAAGGTCATTCCTGCTGAAGCTCCTATTCTGCGTTACATGGTTAAATGAAATAGACAGGGATGATATTCTGTGTGGAAGGTAGCAATGCGGTCAAGAATACATTTACAGCTCGGAGATTCCAGCATTTAGCCTCATCCATCCAGCCCCTGTGGCTGAAATTGTAGTGCGATCTCCATACCAGGGCCTGAAAATGGCACCTCCCAGTTACGTTCCTTCCTTCTGTCTTGGTGACGATGTTTTGTGGCTGGCAGATGCCAACATGTCCACTCTTCACTAATTCAGTTCACACAAGGAACACAAGCTACGGCGTTATCACCAAAAAAACATCATAATACCAGTAATGGTTCTATATTCTCCAAATGCAATTAGTAATAGCTGAGCCAATCTGAACCGGTAACACAATCACGGTGTTCAGGTTTAAGTGATATAGTTGACTATGACTGACCTGTTCAGCCAATTTAACTAACAATATATGTATGACCTAATCAGTTTCATCCAAATCTGCCACATCTGACTGACCTTTTCCATTCTGTGTGATTTGGAGTCAGTGTTTATCAGACTGCTGCATAGTAACTAGATGGGTAGCAGTAAAGGTTACACTGATGCCCACTGAGGGAGCCGTAAGTTTGCCTGGCATTCATGGGCAATCAGCCCCAGCATGGTGGCAGGCAGAAAGCTGATAAACTGTGATCTTAGCACCTCATGACACAAAAAGTAATGAAACAGCCCCTCATTACACATAATTGAAAAATGGGGTCTATTTTTACCCCACTCAAGGACTTTATCAGCCACATTGTAAACTAATCTGACTGATTAGTGATTAACTCTGTTGCATAATTAAGCCGGTGATTGTTGTGGGTAATAAGTCCTGGGTAATAAATGTAGATTCGGAACCGCTAACATTTACACCAAAGTGTGGCTCATATGCAGGAGGTAAGAACAATGACTTCTAGTGTCTAAATCCAATCAGAGCAACAGCCATAAAGCTTAAATATATTTTTGCAGGGGTGCAATATTCATGGCCAGTTGACATGCATGTGTAGTAATGATAGGGATTTACTGGTGGTTTCCTGTCTCACGTGGTGCTTTAATACAGAATTTCAGAAGGTAAGGAGCCTACCTATGGGCTCAGCAGCAGAGCCTCCATATCTGTAGGTCATAATCCTACGGCTGAATCCTCTACTCCACCAGTTGCCCCTGATTTTAGTTGACAGTATACAGAGGAATACCGTATGAGGCAACACAAAACAAAACTGTTGACCTTAGTCTTTTTTTAAGCATCAAATATTCCTCCTTTGTGCACATTCCTTTAAAATATTGCTTTATCAAATTCAATAACGCCAGAAATTTACCAAGTGTCAGTTCAGAACAGCTTGGGATAGGGAGCAGAACTGTGTATGGTAAGGAACTTAAAAGGAAGGCATTTTATGTAGCTGTTCTGCGTGGGGAAAACATGCTGAAGTACCTTGTACAATAAACCGATTTATCAAAGGGGGGGGGGGGGCTTCACTCTGGGATACGATAAGAATAAAAGCTCAACTTTTACTGGTTCCGTGTCCCTTGCTTGAATTTTAGCTTGACTCGTAGTAGCCATGTGAGAGGACAGCAGACATTGTGGTTATGGATCTGGGTTTGCGACCAAAGGATTCGATTTCTGGAAAGCAGAGATTGCTGCTGTAGTCTTGTGTAAATACCTAGCTTGTTTTTTTTTCTTCTTCTTTTTTCTCCAAGTGAACGCACATCTATCTGAAAGTTTGCCTGATGCAATGATGACACTGTTAAAAACAACGGGGTGAAGCCTCAGAAGCTCGAGACATCGGTGGTCCCAGGACACTTCAGCCTTGACATCTGAAGTGTGCGACAGGTGGTTGAACAGCAGGATCAGCCATGACTTCGATGAAAGATCTGCTTTATGAGTAAATGTAGCTTCACACTTTGCATTCATCATCTCCAGATTGTGTACTGAAGCTTCCGGGACTCGGATGCCCTTTAGTAACCTGTGCAAAAACTATGTGACTCTGTGGGATCATTTTGGCTCAAATTCGGTCATTTGTGCCAAGTTGGTGGCGACGGATTTTTTGCTTATGTTCTTGGCTTCGGCTGTGATGTCAACCCTGGTAAGAGAATTTATGCTCTTTTCTGGAAAGCATTGAAGCCTCCTATTTATAGTGAGAGACATGCAAAAATAGTCCTTTGTTGGTTTTAGGAGTTGAGGCCACAATGTCAGAGGTGGGAACAATTGTTTCCAACACTTACCATCACGGGCCAGTAGTTCAATCAATACTTCTCAGGGGGGAGAGACATTTGAGGGCTTGCTGCTTTCAGATTCTGCTTCAGTCTCGCCTTGTTCAGAGGTATAACCAATGTTATATATGAGGCGAGAATAATTTGTCCTAAGGCAGAGAGAGTTATCGCTAATGAATGAACTATGCCTGCAGAGGCCCGAGGAAATCGCATTTTGTTGCTTAGCTGATAAGTGCCCACTACTGCATTGGTTTTGGAGGTTTCTGCCACGGATGCGAGTACAGAATAACTCTATCTGTTGCAACCAATACTCCGCCCTTCATTAAATTATAATAAATGGAAGAAGACTAGATATTTGAACAATGGATACCGGTAATTGTTATCCTCTGCACTCCTAGCCCACAAAGACTCTCGATGCCTTCCAGAGGAGAGATAACCGCAGTGTTTAATGAAGACCCACCTCTGCGGATCCCAATCCATTATCCTCCCCTCAGTTCCCCTTAATGAGCTGAGTCTCAGTTGCATGACAACTTCTCCTCATGGCCTAGACGGACAAAGAAAGAGAAACAGGTTTGGGAATTCCTTAATTCCCATCGATCCTGCTCTGCAGATCAACAACAGACCGTTTGCCGACTCACGGCTCCTTGATCTCAAACAAAATGACGCCAGCCAGTAGCACTGCCCAAGGGTGCGATCGGGGCAAAGGGGGGGGGGGGGGGGCACGAGCAGCGTGGCCCTGAGAGAAGGAGCTCACCCCGGGAGCCACGGAGACAGACAAAAACAACTTCTCTGTCATCCAAATGAGACTATCCAGACCCCCCCCCCCTTCCCCCAGGTGTCAGTCCCCCCTTTGCAGTGTTTGTTGGGAATATGAATTATCAGGCATGCAGGCTGCGTTCTGCATGGCCAACGGCTGTCAGGAGAGGAAGGATGAATGGTTAGAGACAGAGAGCAATGAGACAGACAGAGGCCTGCGGTGACACACCCCCCCCCACCCCCAGGAAAAAAAACTCACCCCCAGACTGACACCGTGGAGATATCAGCACCAGGATACGAACTTCAGTGTGACAGATGCTTTTATTTCCACACAAACCACAAATGGGTTTTCGTCTTTGGCGCAGTTTATAATTGCACAAAAGGCTGTGCCGTGCTCGTGAATGGCGGCATGTACGTACGCGTTTGCGAGTGTTTTTAGCCGCGTGTTTATATAGTATCGGTGACTGTGCTGTGGCAGCTGGGATCAAAAAGCAGCTGAAACTCTTTTAGAGAAGGACATTTTGTTGTTTTGGCTGCTCTACGTGATCCTCTTCAAAGAAGGACCTGACATGGCAGCCGGCATCACCGCTGGAAAAAACATCTTGTATCTGTGAGTGGTTTTCACTGCAGCTCTGTGATCTAACTCTCTAAAAATACAAGTTGATGGAGGCCAGCAGGCCCGGTTGAAGCAGCAGTGATTAGCAGCACTATACTGTTCTCAGGTAAATACCAGGAGCAGGTGTGGCTCATCAGAAGCCAAGTGGGACAGAAAACCTACTGGATAGTAGCTCTCCAGGACCGGAGTTGGAGACCCCTGCTATAGGCCCAGGTTATCCTACGACTGCCAAAACGAGGTTTCGTCGAGCTAGTAGAGCGCGAGACCAAATGCCAAGGCGTGCAAGGAAGGTTATCTTTGCAGTCAAAGGCAAAAGCGGAATATGTGACGGACTGGGTGCCAGCATCTCTGGAACTGGAGCAAAACGTTCAAGGAATATGAAATCACAAGAAGATCTAACTTATTAATGGGGAATATACCACATGTTAAACAGAATATTGTTTGATTATTCTTAACTGAACACCCTATCAAACATAATCATATTGTTTATTGGCAGTACAAAAATTTGTCTAGCTAAATATGGGAAGAAGGATACCTCACCTCACCAACAATGGGGTAGCCTTTACTAACAGAAACCTAACTGGCCAAATTGATCTTTATTGTTGCGTGATACACTTTGATACATTTTGATTTGATGCAAGGGGCATCTCACAGAGATGTAACCCTGCAACCCTTACCTGGATGGATGGATTGAATACTGTACCAGGGGTATGGATAAATATGGCATATTCACACCCTTATACGTCCAAACCACTACCAGGTATTCTAGTATTCCAGGCAAACCTGGGGGATCCCATCTGTCCAACTCAAGGTTATACTGGTGAGTGTGTGTTTTACACTAAAATGCATTCGTTGCTGCTGATGTAAAGAACACTACTGACTGCACGATAATGACACTTACAGCCACAAGAAACCATTGAATACAAGACAAAATATGATATATAATAAATGAGGATAATAACTCCATACAGGTACTTTGGTAGGTGAAAATATAGTAATATGCAGTACTACTGTTGACTGGCCTTTTTCTGTATAACATTAAACAGAACTGCATAGTTAAAAAGGAAGTCTTTTTGTGTGAGCCTCTGTCTATACTGCTGATGATATTACCCGGGTTTAGTTGTACGGTATCTGTTTTGATATGAATGGGATGACATCTTTACAAATATCCTGTCTCAGTGTATCTGACTGACCTGTTCTTCTGTTTTCTTTTTACTGACCCTATTGCATGAAGTAAAATCGCCCTATTGAGTTACAGTTTAATTCATGATTATACTGAATAGTCAAACCATACAGCTGAAAGCAGGCATAAAGTGTTTGATGCTTGTAAAACAGAAACATCAAATATTCCTTCACCTTGAACAGACTTAATTTATACAGAAGGACATGAATTTTCTTTTCTTTTTTTAAATCACTGTCTCCTATAATAAGGGTGCAGTATTCAGGACCTCGGGCCAATCTGTTCTTAGAGAGCAGGCTGGACCATTAGAATACTGCCCTTCTTGCTGGCCGCTCTGTCCAGCTCCAGAATCGAGCACCTGATCATCTGCCTTTTTTAACCTGGCTAAGAACGTGATCACAGCATCCTTTACTGCGGGAAAGTGAAATTGCTCAGGGGCCACATGTGTTCAGTAGGATATGGGCCCTGCTCTGTTCACTTCAGCTCCCGTCTAAACACGCCCGTCTGAGACGAACCTTCTGGAGCTCAACAAAACAAATCTTGCGATTCCTCCAGTGAGTCAGTGCAGCGTAACACGTTTCGCTCTGCGAGGCTTCATCTTGCATGGAACATTTCCTGCATACTGCAAAATTCTTCCACCAGGTGAAAACGCAGTCAAATGAAAAAAATATAAATCCTATGCACAATGGCTAAAAGCACATCATTGAGGTGAGAGATGCTGAAGACCTCCCCTAAACATCCCATAATATGTGAAATACCCTCTGGTACTCATATTCTGAAAATGGGAGCCAACATGCAAGCGACTTCCTGGCTTAATCGGAGCAAACCATGCGAGTCCTAATTGCAGGGAGGTCACATTTCCCTCTGACAGTTGGCGCAGTCCGACGGGCCATCTTCACAATCAGGCCTGCCTCCATTTATTGTGTAATGTAGCGCAGTCTGAGTCACAAATGCATTCTGACAGCACTTGGTCCTTTCCCGGGATGCATCTCATTGTCATGGCACACTGGATCTCTGCCTTCTGTATTAACTGGCCAATTAGGCCCAGTTGGGGTAGCGAACGAGATTGACTTTTGGTGCTGCTTGTGTCTGTCTTGAACAACTATGGCATAACAACACATACGTACAAATGTAAGATGTTAAAATGAATGAAATTCTCAGTGGGCTATAAAAAGACTGAATGAATTTTTGTTGCAATTTATTAGTGAGTTTGTCATCTAGCGAATGATTCATTACATCTAATCAAAAATGTGTTCTCCACGTTTAATTGTCATTACTTTTCCAACAAAAAACACAATAAAGAACAGCCCCGGCAACGCAGTCTCAATTTAACTTTTACTTATGTATATATTTAAAATATCTAAAACCTACGTGAAGCAGGAATTCACCTTTATGTTGCACACCTGTTTGGTACTCATACTATTCAGACGTATCACAATTAAACCGGAAATATATCAGGAATAATCGTGTTTGACGTAAACTTTCAAATCTGTGAAAGCAGAGAGATCTCGCAAACCCATAGCGAAACAGAAATAATGTAAGGATCGGCTCTGATCCACCGCCTGACCCACAGCCACGCCCCCTATGTCGTTCCTGTTCTCCAGAATACTGACGGCTGTTACTTATTGCCGAAATTGGCCAATTCTATATAACCGCTCTAACATGTGTGCGGAGTTGACTCATGTGTGTTTACTGAGTGTTATTCTGTCTCCGCCAGCTATCCCGAGTAGGGGCGTAGGTTTCATATTAACATTGGGGGATGACGGGTACGTCGGCGTCATAGGTATGACGTCACGTCACCTTATAAGGCGATTCTGTAGTCGCAGTGCATACAGTTCATTTTTTTTCATAAACTATTGCAGTTCTAATTACAGTATATAAAGCAAAATGTATGCTTCCATTTTGCTGTTATTCATATTCACTAATATAGTACTTTACGTGCATTAAGTCCCACATTATGTATGCTGAATTTGCGGGAATTATTAAAATTATAGACAATCTGTGAGAATCGACCATGAATATCAGGTCATTCATTGTGGAAAAAATGACCTCACTTCTGGGCCACTGTGACACCCCTGTCACTCTCCTGCACCCCGTCTCTCCCACAAACATGTCCTAACTTTCTGGAAAGAAACACATAAAATAGCAACTAAAAGGTCCTAGAAACCCATAGAAGTACATATGGAAGATTTACGGAATCTCTTCTTGGCAATAAATGGGATTTCTGGCAGCACTGTTTATGGACTAAATGATTCTGAGTTTCTGGTGACTGAATATTTACTTTATGGTCTTTTCCAAATAAATACCAGGTCTGCCCCCGTTTTTTGACGGCCTTCCTACTTATTTTTATGCCCTAACTGCAAACACAGTGGGATGAGAATTGTGACTTCACACCCACCCGGTCACGCCCCCTTCTGGCGTCGGCAACAACAGCCGGTCCTGCCCACGGATGATGGGACTCCCTATTTCGGCCCCGCACCGGCAGCAGGTCCGTGCGAGGTATTGTTGGCATAACACTACTGAGCGCTCTAACTCTGTTCTCCCCGAGTTACCCGCGCCTCCTGCCTGCCCTCCTTCCCGTCCGCCCTCCCCGTGACTCCCCTCGTGGATTCCTCCCCTTCGTGTGTCTGCGTCCTCGGACAGACTCCCCGGCTCTTCGAACCCTTGGACCCCCTCTCGACTACGGTATCTGGACACGTTTTGGCTTCAGGCGATATATACGGACGGATTCCTGGAAAGACCCCGCTACGACCTCTGACCCCTCTCCGTCTCATCCCTAATAAACTTGGTAGCTCGGAATGTTCTGTCCTGGTCTTGCATTCCGGTACAGACTGACACGAACACTATTTACCGATGCATTTTCAGCATTGCTGATTCTGCTACGCTGTTAACTAACCAAGCTAGTTGCACAACCAAATAAGATCATCGTTTATGAACCTTGATCGACATGAGATGATTAAATTCCACCGTTTCACATAGCATTTTATTGATTAACTGCTGGTTATGATACAAGGCCTTCACTGAGTTAAGTTTACATACAAAGCCATACCACGCCTCTGCGCTCACCACTCTCTGTGTTACAAATAAAACATGGGCATGGATAAACTGACAGATTCAGGGGGCCAAGCACTTTACAGGGGCACTTGAACATATAAAATGATAAAATATTATATAATGTAAGGGGGCGGGGAGCAACAAGGTGTCATTTTGTCGGGGGGGGGGGGGGGGTCAGAATGATTAGCTACTCTCCTGGTCTGGTCTCACACCCTTCTAACCTGATGGTTGGGTCCTGGTCATCATAGTAGCTGCGTTCAAACCTTTAACTTACAAAACCAGAATGAAGTTAAATATTTCCATACAGAGGAGGCCAGGTTCATTACTGTGTGTTGAAAAGGTTTTGCACATTTTTGGGTTTCCCCTCGTTTAACACACCTGATTCAACTTCTTGTGCTAATTACCACACATTTGTGGTGGAACAGGGAAAGAACTAAGCTACTCAGGGCTCCGGCCCCCCAGGACTGCAGTTTGACACCCCTGCTCTTTTCACTCCCAGGAGGTGCTCTGCTCAGAAGGATCTTTGTTTTCTCTCTCTCCGGGACACAAAGCGATCTCACTACCAGTAACGGGGCACCACTCATCCTGAGCGTAGCACACACACCACATCATCGCAAATCCAGCCCAAAGGCCCATTTTCTCAGCTGGATGCCCAGCATAATGGTAAACAGGGAGGGGATGCTGGCAATTAAGAGAATGGGTGCAAAAGGAATCAGCGTGAAAGGACCTGATGAATCCACAGGATTGACTGAGAGGAGGGAGATTTCCATGTGTGTGTGTCCCCCCCCTATTCGGAGCAGCTGGGTCAGCCCCAGTGCCTGGAAAAGGTAGGTCAGCAAGACCCTGAACAAGGGGCTTTCCCCAAAAAAAAAAAAAAAAAAAAAAACATGAAAATCGCAGAATAATTTGATCTTATTTATTTATCTTCTTCCATATTTGGTTGGTAGCAATGGTGTAGTTTGTGGAAGTGTATGCTCCACAGCGCCCCCTATTGAAAGCAGCCTCCTGGAATCTGTCGTCGCATATTTGCATCCTCCACTGGAGCATAGCTGGGAGGAAGTTAACATAACATTCTTTCAAATTCAGAGAGCTTATGCACTCTTAATTAAAGGGAATAGAGAATGCAAGCCCAAGCCTTGTGTCCACACCGGGGAATTTATTACCCCCCCACCCCCCGGGACTTGTGATAATTCTGTTTTCAAACCAGAAACAAAAGTACAAGGAATTGTGCAAGACCAGTGTTTTATTTCAATTAATATATGCCATGTAATATCACGGTGCTGGCAATGGGAGTGCCGGAAATGTACGGAAATTATAATAACAGGCTTTCAATAAAATATTCATAGCCCACAGCTAGAAAATTACACTGCAGCCGGGTAATTAAAAGCCATGTCTAATTTAAATACTTGCCTCAGTTCCTTACTATATATATTACTGAAGGAGTTTGGAAAGTGCTTTTTTCTGTGTGTTATGATTCCACAATACCTGGGGGAGAGGTGGTCTGTGATTGCAGGGAGCAAATTAGTCTTTTTGTGTCTCTTTAAAAAGCAGAGGACACCATGCAGCCAGTCTGTTTCATCTGTTTCATCATACCTAGTATTTATAGCCAAAGAAATGCGACTTACCGTACAATTTCATTTTTTTCTGGTTGGCTGATTATGGGTACCATTACCCATAATTCAGCAGCCACCTGATCTGGGCACCTGCAAAAAGAATGGGTGAGATTGGGGAAAGAATAGGAGGGAGGGGAGTGGATGAAGGGGCAATGCAACGCGAACACTCAGATAATACCTTTGTCTTCTGATTCTGGCGTATTTGTCTGATCCCTTTCTTCTGAGTTTACTCCTTGGTTAAATGATAAAGTTTCCATTTGAGTCACAGCGAAGCCGTTTATTGCTTCCGAGCTGGACTTGTTTTTCTCTTTTTAATCAAAACTTCTCATTTCCCGCTTAGGTTGATGTTTGCTCCCTGGACGGGCTTCGGTTTCTCATCGGCGGATGCTTCTGACCCCGGGGGCGATATCGCCGGCCGCACTGTGGCTAAACAGCACAGTTTTTTCGGTTAAGAAAAGCATCTTGCTTTGGAGAAGAGAAAATGCAATTTAGGGGACAGGCTGCTAACAGAAATCGAACCGTACAATAGCACAGCGCTCCTGCCACAGTAGCACTTTGGTAACAGACTATACTTAGTGTGTGCCTTGATTCCAAATGGGTGAGTTTGATCATCTCACCACCCAGCCTCAAAAAATACTTATTAATCGGTGTTTGTCAGAGGGTTAGAGAAGACATCTGTAAGGTAAAGAGAAACCCGCTTTTAGGAAGGCGTCCATTGCCGCAGTATCACTAATCTGCAGTTCCTCTGCAGTCAATGCAGTGCTACTGCAGATAATCATAAAGAGCAATGTTTCTCAATGCAGTTCTTAGCTGCCCCCTGACGGTCCGTGTTTTTGCTCCCTCCCAACTCCCTGCAAGACATACCATATTTTTGCAGTAGGGAGCTGGGAGGGAGCGAAAACTCGGACCGTCTGGAGGTCCCCGAGAACCGCGTTGAGAAACACTGTCATATATGACTCCGGCTCTGCTGTGCCACACACTGGACAGGGGGGTGAACTGCAAGCACAGGTGCAGTAAAGGGGCTGAGCTCATGACCGCAGATTCGAAGGGAGAAATTCCCAGCAGGGGTCGTGCCCATGTAACCTTGAGCAAGGTGCTTAACCTCGATTTGCTTCGCTAAAATATACAGCGGCATAAAGGTAGATAAGGCGTGAAAGTGTGGAAGTGACCGGGTCATACCGTCTGCCAGGCAGATAGTCTCTCTCCGCCCTACTGTATGTGGCTATTGCCATCAAAGTGTTCTAGGCTAAGAAGAATTTGTTAAAAAAAATTATTGTCTCGTCACACTTGTCCTCAGACGTGAGCAGGCGAGTCCTCGGCTGATCGATGAAGGATTTGGCGCATGGGGAGGCAGAGACCCGTGGAATAACGGGACGGCATTTGAGATGGCAGTGGGCGAGCGAGCCACTGTGACTTTGAAGCATCGGCCCGTCAACGTTATCTGGGATGATGCAGCCTGCACTGGGCGGAAGAGGGAGACGGATCCCCTCTTCTCTTTCACGGGGAGGCGGGGGGGGCAGGCATCTTCCTGTACATCTCATCCATATTGTCTGCTGGTTAAGTGTGGAGGCGGGTGAATCGATGAACGTTTCAGGATTCTTATTACACCGGCCCGCTGTGTCGCTGACGGCGGCCATCATTCTTTTGGGCAGGAGGAGGCGAAGTTGCCCCGCAAGTTGCCACAGGATACCTGGCCCTGGGTCACCATAGCTGCAGTATAATAAATGCTAATGTCCCTTGTAGTCACAGTGTGTAAAATTAAAGTGTCCAACGCGGTAGCTGAGAACCTAACTCAGCGAAGACGGAGGCTGGAGCTCTCCACAGCACTTTAACCCCTTACATCTGTGCCCCAGCTTTTGTCGACGACCTGCTCCGGCAAGAATATCCGCTTCGGATTTACATGCGCTGCAGTGATTGGTGAAGTCAGTCACCCACGTCTTCGTTACACAAACATCTCCAGATACTCATGGGAATCCAGCGCTGCCGGATAAACATGCTGACTTTTACCCGCAGCATCCACCGGGCGTATTTCGGAAACCTCCCCTCCGTGGATCTTCAAGCAAGCAGAGGCAAAATTTAGATGCGGGGCGATCGTTTTGTTCATGCATATTTCACCCTCCACTGAGTCTCGGTGCAAAATTGGGACAGCTTATAAATCAGAGATTTATTAACATAAAGAAAAGCCTTACATCAGTCTTTCAAGTTACTTGTTAAATTTATTCAAGGCATCTTATAAATCAGCAAAAAACACTCATGTGAAAGTAGGAAACATCAAAAGGGGATAAATGGCTTGCATGCTCTCCAAGCTCGTCAGAGACCCCTGATGTCTTTAAGAGATTCTTGTTCTTCTGTGGGACGCTGAGGAGCTGCGGGTGGCCTGAATGGGGAGGGGGGGGGGGCATTGTCCCGTCGTTGTCTGAGAGGACACGAGGTCGGCAGTGGTGGCAACCACAGAGTGAGGGTCTTTTTAAATGTGCGACTTCCCCAGCCGGCTGTGGGACACCGCAGAGGACCCATAACTCACACACACCCAGAGCCATAATTCAGCACTGCATGGCTGCATCTTATCTCCTTTTATTTGCCACGTCTGCTGCTGGGGGGGGGAGGGGTGGGGGCTAAAAAACAAATTACCTCTGATAAGTAGGAATTTGCCTCCGCGTTTCCGGGTCAGCGATAAACTGCTCTGCCGCAGTCTGACAAACGGAGTCTGGGGCCCGTTTCCCGCTCTTCCATCTCAACTGTTTATGTCATTTAGCTGCCCAACGGACCCCTTTGTGCAAAACGATCTGTTAGCCCGGCTGCTGTGTTATTTACAGTTTCACACCACCAGACAATCGCTGAGGTGCTCAGCACTGAGCAGCCTGCACTGAAGGGCCTTATCCTGATGCAGGAACTGCAGCGTCTTTGGTTCCCGAAGACATAACGGCCAAGGGACACTGCTCAGTTCAGCAGACGGAGCACAGATTACAGCGGACATCGAAAGGCATGCACTCCGGCAGAGCAACAATAGCAAGGGGGACGTGGGACGGGGGGGAGGGTGGGGGGTGATAATGGGTGAGGTGAGGCGAAAATAAAATCTATGGCGTCAAGCCTGTATCAGAGAAATACAGCCACCTACATGCCTTCGAGCAGCGACCCCAACTAATCCAGGGTCGATCGCATTTTCCAACCCTATTTATTTCTTCTTTGGTTCGGGCGGCCAGCAATTTACCGACTGCTCTCTAGTAATAAACCCGATTTCTCCTTTCTATTTTTTCCCCAAAGAGGACAGATATCAAGGTAACTAGGCAGTGCAGCACAGAGAACATAAAACACCAACGTCTTATTCCATCACTTTTATTAAGTTCAGCCCCCCTGTTTGCCCTGTGTGTTAGTGTAGGCGCTGTTCCTGTGTAGGGTCTGTGCCTATCAGTAGGCTTGAGGTTGTACCTCGAGTCAGACGCTATGAGTCGGCTGAGAGCAGAATGTTGTTAGTTTTAACCATTCGGCAGGGATGAGTCTTGTAACTTGTCAGTCAGTATATGTTAGTACATGTTAATAAAGCTCTACGTCGGACCTACTGTGAGTCGGTACCTGCCAGTTAGGTTCAGTGTCTGATATCAGTCAGTGTCTCACCTTCCCCGAATTCTCTAGGTGGGGGGGTCGTGCAGTCCCTCGGGGCAGAAATTTGTGTAGTTTGGATTATTGCAGCTGTGTTGCGCAAACAGGACGCGCCGCCATCTCTCAGCGGCACACGGGCAGAGCTGGCGTTGAGGTACCGCTTAGCATTTTACGAATGTTTGCTGAAAGGGAGCCGCAATTGCCGGGGCTCTTAAGCTCACAAAGTGCCGCGATATTAAAGCTACTCTGACTGCACAAGCGTCACGTCACGGGGAAGCGACTCCAAGTGTCTGTTCAAAAGAGGGCCGCTTTCAAAAGCCAGGATGTAGACATCTCCAACTGCATTTATGGCTCATGCTATTTGATAAAGTGCTCTTGTTGAACCATACAGGCCTGATTCTTCTTATACTGTACAAGATAAAATTATATGATTAACTGTATATGAGTCAGAGGTCTTACACATCTAGATGGATGTTCCTATTGATATTTGACTTGGATTTGATTTAAGGAAGTTGGTGCTTGAAAACAGGAAAAGTCAAAAAGTCACGCAGATATCAAAAGAGAATTTTCAAAATATAGATAAAAACATTATACATTAGTCATTTATAATCTGTACATAAGTTTACATGTATTTGTTATTTAATGAGTGAGTTTCAGAAGACCAAATATGCAGGAAAAAAATCACAGGATGAGAAGTTAAGTGGTAAATGATTATGCACGTTGTAACATCTCTTAAGAGTTTAAGCTTAAGCTGGTTGACCAATTTATGAAAAATACAGGTGTGTTTTTGCATGATCGTTTGATGGTTTAGTTGGTCATACCAGCTTATGACGGTCATTTTAACTGATTTAGTTGGTCATACCAGTATGGTCAACTTGATAGGCTGGTCACACCAGTATGACCAACTGATGACCCAACCAGCTAAACCATCAAAAAGCAACAATAGCTGGGACATGACCATCGAAGACCATCTTTGACAATAAGTGGGTATGGCCAGGGCATGGTGAAGGACGGATGGTCCGCGGTAAGGCACCAGGGGAAGGGGATTTTACTGGTCGGACACGAAAGGGTAACAGGAAAATAAAAGGCACTATGAGGGGTCTAAAAAAGTCAGGTAGGTAAAACGTAAGAACTAAAACAGGGAGCAGCACAGGAACAAACACAGCAAATACAGGGAATGAATGACAAGGCAACAAGCAATGCAACTGAACTCACGAGAAACGAGAAGAACAGGGCAGGAACTGAAATACATACACGATGAGGAAAAACAAGAGACAGGTATGGGCATTTAACCAGCACTGATAACACAGGGGCACAGGTGAGGGCAATCAACAGACAAAGAATCAAACACCAGAAGAGGCTAAAATAACAAAGGTAACAGACCGATACAACAAACAGGGAATAACAGGGAGCAAACGCAAGGATCTGTAGCAGAAATACACAAATACATCATAAACTAAGAGAATATAAAGAAACACACGTTAAATTATAACCCACAACAGAAGGGGACGCCTAGATGACATAGCCTAGGCTCAGCCCATTAAGCCATGCAGCAGCCTGGGGAGTAGGGAAAAACAAATCAAGCTAATACCAAATAGGATGACCAGTGACACCTGCTGGCCAAATGGGAAACAGATAATGAAAGGGCCCAATCCTGACAGATAAGGGTGGAGGTTTTTAGCTGTTTTTTTTCCAGCAGGAGTCATCAACATACCAAGCATGTCTAAAAAAGAAGATATGAACCATTTGTAATTTGTATATGTTGTGCTTCAGTAGAAATGCATTTTAGCTTACAAGAGCCTGGAGACCCATGAAGAAGGTGAGTAGAGCGCCATCAGGGGAGCAGTCTGAGGAATTAAGCAGGAGGAGCATGTTCAGGTGCAGCTGAAGGACAGGAGGTTGTCATTCATGTGAAACCCGTGTGTAATATTACAGCAGCCTAGCTGGGCTCCAGCAAAAGGCGATTTGCACGCGTGTGGGCTTCATCTGACTTTAATGATCCACTCAAAAGCAAATCGGAGTCTAGGAGAGCCTCTCTTAGGAAACATTCACAGCATTTCAAACCGAAATCTTGAAAACTGGACTCTTCACTGAAACTTGAATTAGTCAAGCAGCTATAGAAGACGTATAATAGACTGTGGATAATTACCCAGAAGAATGCAGATTCATGTCCTGAGAACGGTCATGCACCTATAGTTATGTATACCTTTTGCAGCTGGTGAACATAATAACCACTGTACTGTGGAAAACAAAGACAGAACACCTGGTTGCTGCTGTGAGCAGGACTTGAACCTGCATTGGGAAACCCCATTGGATTTCAAGTCAAGATCACTCAGCCATCATAGCAACATTGGAAAAAAAAAAAAAATGGGTCTACAATTATGTAATTAGTGCTCATATGCTGGTTTTTACCTTTGTCAATAAACAGATATTCAGCATAGACAAAATCAGTCTACTGGAGTATCTGTTGCCATATGTAATGCTCGTGGGCTTTACGTTGAGTTAGAATATTAGATATTTCTCTGTTTATGAACAAGCTTGAGTGATGGCTGAGATGATATGAGATGAGAGGGAGTGGCTGCTTTGAAAATAATCACCAGTACAGGAACCCGAGGTCTCACCAGTCTGGGTCACTTATTTATTCTCTGGAAGAGGAATAATCTATATATATATTAATCAGCTCCATAAAATGAAACGCCCATCTTAAGCTATGGCAACGAAGGCCACTAGATATAATCATTCAATTGCGTATAACCTAAATAAACTAGAATTCCTAAATAAACACAGTGAATTCAGGATGCATTTAAATTAAGATTTGCTTTTGATTATGTATGTCTGTTTAAAGGCAGCTTATTACAATACTTTGTTAAACCATCACATACCTTAGGTTGGCGCCCTGTCCTGGGTTATTCCCTGCCTTGCATCTGTAGATCCCGGGATAGGCTCTGAACCCCAATGACCATCTCACACTTTTAGCTGTCCCAGAAGACAGGTGTTCAGAATAGCCTTTCAGTTGGTGTGGAGATGGGGGCATGAGGTTTTCTGCGAGCTGTCAGGAAGGGTGAGGTGCAGAATGGTCTGAGGCTGGTCCCACCTGGGGGATAAGCAATCACGCTTGCTGATTACCTGTGAGCATGATACCAGGGTCCTGCAACCAGCCATGATGAAATCCAATCAAACACCTAAACAGCGTGCAGGGGAACATGGAAGAGCTTTCTGCCCCCTATCAACCACCCAGACCGAAGCTTTCAGGGAGCTGTTGTATATCACAGTTAGGAGTAATTCTGGAGCCATTCTGGAGCCATCCCTGTTATGGTGACGACCCCAATACTGGTTTCTGGTCCTTTCTAGTTCCTTACCAGCACTGGTATAAAGCTCAAAGAGTACGATTTAAAAATGGTGAGTTTTGCTAGGTCTTTCAAATGTTGCTGATATGGCAGAATTCATTAAAAGCATGACTAAGCTTTAGTGGGGGGAAAAAAAGCAAAATATAAATAAATAAATCCTGAATTTTAATGTTTTTAGCAAGATTTGAAAGGGAGGTTTGTATTAAATTTTGTTGCAAATGGAAGTGCTTGTGCACATGGTACGAGCTATAAAAACTGTTCACAGTGTCTGAAAAGTAAACATGAAAGAACAATTGGCAAAAAATAATAATAATAATAATAATAATAATAATAATTCAAAAGTAATCAGAGCTGTCATGTTTCTGAAGGTGTAATCAGAGGAAGCTTGAAGCTGTCTTCACTGGATCACAAGGGCCTTGAGAGACACTTTCAGGTGGGTACAGCTCGTCTTTTGTAATGTCTGAATGCAAGTACAGATTATCCATTGTGTCTAATTGCATATCCTTTCCCGTAACAAGGAAAGACACGTTTCCCATTTTCATGGTAATAATGAAATGTATAATTTCAGGTACATTAACAACCTTTTCAGTTTCTGAAAACAATATGAATGGGTTGCGAAATGGATTCCCTGGATTTATCATTACATCGTTAATTAAACGTGAATATAAGGAAATGCAAAAAAAAAAAAAAAAAAAATAGTTTATATTATATGGCAATAGCAGGGGATGGGATCATATTAAAATCGTTAGGTAAAGAGATACTGCTAATGATATAAAGAAAAAAACCTGACAACCAACAAACAAAACTGAGACCCTTTAGCAAACCCCAAGTCATGGGTCATCATACTGATGTTACATCACTGTCACTGTGTCCCAGCACCCCCTGCACTTTGACAATGACTGGCACTTGCCTCCATATCTTGGACTTCCCAGTAAATTAAAATTTCAAAAGTTGTAAAAAGGACAGCATTGACTCCTTCCATTCCAGATATCTTAAACAATGTATTACAACTCACACGTGACCTTTGCTGTGAGCTGCTATTGATCCAAATATTGCTAGAAATTTAAAAAGTAGTAGATGTTTTTTTTTTTTGCCGTGTCTGTGTGTTTACATCACGATCATTAGCGGTATGTAAGACCAACTGTCATAAACCAGGCAGAACATCAAGGACACAGTATATGCTTCAATTACGAAAATTTGGAGGATACAACAACTGCAACTTACAACCAACCATGGAAAGCAGAAATGTATTATGGGTAAATGTATCATGGGTAAATGTTAATATTAGAAGAAGCAGCCGCCACATCCTACTTGCCTGACCCTCCGGTCTCGTCCCTAACGTGGCCCTGATGAGCCAAACCTGTTGTTTGTTGCCCCTTGTTAGTCCTCCTGTCTGCTTGTGGCCTTCCCGCTACCAGTTTCCTCATTTTGGATCCCTCGCAGTCCTGTTTGTTTTCCAGTCCATCTTTAGTTTTATTTTAATAAAGCTCCTTTTGTTCTCCTAATGCCTTCCCAGGAGTCCTTCATCCTGTGAGTCACAACAGCAGCTTATATTGTCGGTTGGTGCCCCTGTCCTGGGTTATTCCCTGCCCTGCACCTGTAGTTTCCAGGATAGGCTCCAGAACCCGTGCACAGATATAGAAAATGGATGGATGGACGGAGAGATGGATGGATGTTTACTGCTGTAAATGCTATATTGCTGTGCTGTATTAGCATGTATCTGCTTTAACACACACACATGCGTGTGTGCGCATAATATAGATAAAAAATACAAATACACCCTGTGTGATAAATGGCATGCTAATAAATAATGAATACAAGAAAACATTAAATGCTGAATATCAACAAGGAATCAAAATCTGTTTACATACTTTGGAAAAGCTTTGATTAACTTGGTTGTCAAAACACAGATCATGTTAAGTTACTACTTGTGAACATTTAAGAATTTTCTAAAATAGCATATGGCCAGTATACAGTTTGATAAATTCAGATTGTCACTTTTACTTATTGATTTGTTTATTTATTTTGCTTGTTTATTAAGAGTCCCTAGAAAACAGCATTTATCAAAATTGGATGGGAAAATTATTGTTTAAAAAAAATCCCAGTACGTTTCTGCTTCCAAGATCCATGTCGTCTTTCGCACTCTGGGGAACATGTAGTATGACTTGCACTTTGGCACTCTAGCCATTGAACACTGTAATCAAACAAAAAACAAACCAGAAACCAAAGTATCATTTAGTGAGTGCTGGGTGAAATCCAAGTACTGAGGAAGTACAGACACACACATACAGGCACAGTCCATTTATTCATATCTTCATGGGGATTCTCCATTAATCTCTATAAGCATAACCCTAATCCCAACAACCTAAGCCACTATCCAGCCCTAACCTTAACCGTAAGTAACCAAACAAAATGCGAGACTTTTGGCATTTTTAGGTTTTTGATTGCAGTCACACATTTTTATCAAATTGAGGTTCTTTTTGCAGGGACCAGAAAAAATGATCCCATAGGTAAAACGTTCCAGGTTTTTCACATTGTGGGGAAATACTGTATAGTTCCAACAGAAATTGCAAATACACACACATTCACACACACACACACACACCACGCCTGTTTTGACCTTCATGTGCAGTTCACAGGATAGTCACAGGCCATTACTTTCACTGGTGAAAACTGGCACAATCTAAGCTAATGTGCATCTGGCAGCCAGTTGTATCAGTGTCATGTCATAATTTCGCAGCACGATGCTGCCATTGTTACTGATCACATATTTCATCCATATTTCACATTTCATCAGAGTGTAATGCTGGTGCCAGCTCGGGTCCTCCTTTTCCAAACACTGCAATGCCTCACAATTAATTATGTTCCATTTACTCCAGTCATCAATTTTTTTTTGGAGGGGGGGGGGGGCTTTATTACTCTGCTGACAGTTTCCCATATGCTTCCAGTGGGTTTCTAAAGCTTGGTTACCCATAATCCCCCTGGCCTTCTCTCCTAACACCGAGCTGGACCACTGGTCTAGGCCAGTGTTGCTCAACCTGGTCCTCAGGGATCCCCAGACAGTCCATGTCTTTGCTCCCTCCCAGTTACCTGGCAGACAGTCCTGTCTGGGGGTCCCTGGTTGAGAAACGCTGCCTTAGACTATTGAGCATTGCAGGGCATCTGGCTTCAACGAGACCAGTCAGATCCAATTAGTACGAATACAGCATCGTCTATGACCAATATATGTATAACTGAGGTTGATGTGATACTAAGCCTAGCTAAACTCAAAATAAATAAATCGCAGGGGCGATTTATGATGGCATCTTACCTATAGTTTTAAAAGAGATGAGGGATATTATTAGCCAACCTTTAACTTTAATATTCCAGAAATCTTTAACTTTAATATTCCAGAAATCGTTATCTGTGGGTGTGGTACCATCAGA